ATAAACTTTTTGTCTAAATTAGCCAAATCGGTTTTTAAAGATTAGCTTATTATACAGAAATACATAAAAAGATTGATTGAAATATCATAATAATTAATATAGCAAAAGACAATGGAGTTATGTTTCATAATTTTAATAATAGGATTTTTATAATGGAACGAAGACTATAATAAGGCATTTTCATAAGATTTTATAAATCTAGCAACTGTGATTCTAATTATGGTTGGATAGCTCATTACAATTTGTTAAGTTGATATTATAATATAAAATTCAAAAATGAAAGTAGGATTATTTTCGAACAGCTAGATCAGGAATGAATTAAAGTACTGTATATAGAACTCACTTATAATAATTTTATTGCTGAATTAAAAAATTATATATTTACATGCAATAATAATGTAGTTGGTATATTAATATCTTGTTAAAGAAATTATAATAGAATTGCCCTGATATTATTATTTGAATTTATCTTTATTTAATTATTTTAATCATTATTTTAGTTCTATAAACTTTCAGCTTATTTAAGTTAATTAAAATTCCATTCATGATTTATATTATTATAGTTTACTTGATTTTAAAAATATTGGAATGAATTATATTTGATAGAATATGTTGAAATCATACTAGATTATATTGAGTTATGAATAAGACTATTATCATGTAAGACATTAAAAGATACTACTTATATTAATAAAGTGATAGTATATGAAATAAAATTTTTTATTGAGATATATATATAGGATATATTGATTTAATTCAATGAATATTTAGTCCTAGATAATCATTGAAGAATTCTATCATGCTCCTTCTTCATAAAATTTTACTATAATCTCTAGGGAATTCTAATCCTTTTAATTGAAATTCTATATAGTTTGGCCATTTAAACTTTGATGAGAGTTTAATTAAATAGAATGAAAGCCTTTAGAAATAAAAAACTGAGGTTATTTTGAAAATAAATCTATCTTTAAAATATTTATAAAGGTATTTTTCAAATCTTATAAGGCAATCTTTTTGTTAAAATCCTAGTTTTTATTGTAGAAATACCATAATGATAAATTTATCCAAACTAGAAAATATAAATTTTATTCTTTGATACTCTGGATTCATAATAATAATTATTAGATTATAAATAAAAGTTTGTTGCTTTATTTTACAAATTTCTATTAAATTGTTTGATAGAATTAAAAATGATCCAATTTTTTAGTTTAATAATAAATAGCTTATGATTGCTTATTGAATCTCAACTAATTTCATTTTTCTTATTTATTTATATATATATTGATATTTCGATATTTATTACATTTTCTTTAGAGATTAATTAATTAGTTCTTTTGTAAAAAATTTATATATATATATTTACAAGTTATACAATAATCATTAATTCATTATAAATAATTTTGAGTTTTTATTATGAAATTGATTTAAAATAAATTATTATTATTAGTATATTTATACTGAATTTTTAGGTCAAAATTTAAATATTATATTTGCTCATTACTAATTATCTTTTTATATGAATTATAAAATTATTTTATGCTTTTAATAAAGTAAGTATCTTATTATTATGGTTAATAAGTCAAAAAAATGATTTATTATTAACATTTTCAAATGATGATTGGAATGGAAATTTAATTTAAGAACTTATTTTTCAGTAATGCAAGTAGTAGCATGAAGAATAGTATTTAATTTCTAAAAATTATGTTATTTAGATTTCTAAGTTAAAATTAATTGCACAAATATTCAAGGGGAAGTTTTACTTACCAAAGTTTTTGATATCATGGTCGAAGAGGCTTCAAATACTTTCTCCACCTATAAACTGTTGCTGGATTTGATGGTCTGGAGTTAAAAATTCCCCTCCAGCCTTATTTCTAATCGAACCAAAGTTGATCTGAGGAAAGAGTGCCCAGACATTGTAAAAAACATCAAGAAAGAGAAAGAAACCCTTTAATAACATTAGTATTTTCTAAAATTCTATCAATTAGTATGGAAGAATTCTAACCTGTGTTTTTATGATTTAAATAAAATAATGTGAATTAACCATACATTGCTCCTATTGGGAGGATGTATCATTTATTTCCTGTTAAAAATGATCCAACAGTTTACCTTATTTAAAGAAACCTATGCAGAGAGACATGTAAGTAATTAGAAAAACGGGATGATGCAAATGAAGTTTATTTAGTTAATAAAAATGTAAGTAGATATTCTACTTACATATATATAAATAATAGATTCATTATGCCTCATCTATTCTGAATAATATGATTATAAAGAAGAATGATGGTAATTTAATATTGGAGATTGATGTAGTATTTTCTATCTTGCAAAAATTATCAATACAGGATTTGTTTAATTTAACAAGAAAACTATTATGTAAATTAATTTATTATATAAATTTAGAAGAAAATACGCATTATTACGATTAATATTTAGAAATAATGGTTTAAGATTTATCATATTCAACTTAGAATTAATTTGATAGGTTCTTAAAATACAAATCTTAATATTTTGAAAAACAAGGGATTGATTGGAATGCCAGAAAACACAGAAAAGAAGACTCTGAATTGATACTGGACAAAATAGTAAAGTAGATGTATTCATAATAATAATTAAATATGAAATTCTTATCATATCCCAATCTTCTTTATATTCTTAAGTAGAATAGGATGAAAAATAGTTGTGATGATGCCTTTAGCCTTCTTAACTGAGAATTCAATCTTATAAATTCTTCAAATATAATTTCAGATTCTCTTAGCTGTTTAAGGAGGTCAGCCTTAGCAGAAGTATTTAGGTTTAAGGGTATCACTTGAATATGCGGTAATCACTTGATATCATTAAAGAACCTTATAAAACTTCTTAATGTGGGATACTGAATAATCTCTCATTATTTTATTGCTCTCATCATTTGATTAAATACTGATTGTTGTTTGATATCTGATAACATAACATTTTTATATAATTTACCTCAAAATAATAAAATAGGACCAAACAATTATAATCAAAAATATGTAATATAATTTAGAATTCTTCTAAAAATCATAAATAAAAAATATAAGCTTAATTGAAAGGATATACAATTAATTTCATTGCTAATGATATTTTCATCTTATAATAAGGATCCTGTAATATATTTGATTTTTTTCCTGTTTAATTCTATTCATAACAAATCAATTCTTTAAATTTAAATGTAATAAAGCAATTAGTACTCTATAAATTTACATATATATAATATAATGTTTAAAAAAAAAATAAAGCTGATTTGATTGACTCTCTATTGAAATAAATCTAATAATTATTTTAATTTTCTAAACTAAATGATCTTTATAGTTTGTTATAAATGCTTAAAAGTTTATTTATGTATTTAAATTATGTAATTTAACATCAATTTAAAATTAACTTATGTGAAAAAATTATAGTAATGTCTTTTTTTGAGCTTTATAAATAAATTATATTTATTTAGTTGAAGGTTTTTAACTTATCCATTGGTAATGTCAAGTTTGATATTTCATTAATTATAGAGTAGTAGAATTAATAGGATTTATTTAAATTCATAATGAAAAAATTCCTCGAAATTCAATTTAATTAATTCATAAAAGATATGAATAACTAAGATAATTATTAATTAATATAAATGCTAATTAATGATTTTTATTATAAATCCTTATTTCTTAATTTTTTGATCTGAATTAATAATACTTTAAAATTTTAAGGATTATGAGAGATTC